AATCGAGAGACTTTCTGTAAGTAAGAATTCCATTGTACCAGTACCGGTTACATATGGCAATAAAGTTCAAGTTCAAGTTCAAGCTTTGCTTTTAAAATATTTTCTCACTTTAGTAACCTGATTGGATACTAAAAGTGGTTCACAGCCTTTTAGTGGAGAGAAGAGATTCCATCAAGCCTTGTGTGGATTGCTACAAAAACCCCAGGCCAAGGATCAAGCTGTGGGGCTTCAGTTTTTCTGTAGCTTGTACGATTTAACCCGTACTCCTGTCTTGTTTACAGTACAATACTTCCATGGCGGGGGCAAAGGAATTTTACTGTCTTTAACTCATGCTCACCTTTTGATTTCCTCAGGACACTGCAGGGCAGGAACGGTACCGGACCATAACAACAGCCTATTACCGGGGTGCTATGGGCTTTATCCTCATGTATGACATCTGCAATGAAGAGTCCTTTAATGCCGTGCAGGACTGGTAGGTATAACACAAGTGTCCAAAGCAGTATTTCAGATAATTATCGGGCTGCTGCAAAAAAGTTCAACGAAAAACTTCAGGATACAAAGCAATACAAGTGTTGTGTTCCTTTTCACTACAATAACAGGCAATCCTCGTTTTCTAAACACTTTTATATTGGAAGCGCAATTCCCACTCTTTAAGACTGTCTCTGCATAACATTTCAGTTCTAATTAATTAATTGGATTATACTATATAACACTTTTCACCCTATTACATATAGAAAGCGAGCCCTTTCATCCACTGTTGAAATAGAAAAAATGAAGTGAGAAAATTGCTCCACTAACTTAATTCAGGGGGATTTAATTCAGTACGCCAAAGTAGAATTTAGCTAGGACACTGGCTAAAACTAGTGATTTTAGGAGTGTACCATGGTACAATGACTTTATTTAATGCCTCACATGTATGTGTAGTGTCCCCTGTTACAAAACATTGTGATATTGCTTTTGGAAGTCCTTGTCCAGAAACAAAGAGCACCACTTACTGGGCAATCTATCCAACCTACTGTATAGCAGCATTCTTGTTTTTCTTCGAGGTCTCCCGTCTAGTCCTGACCAGGCTCAGCCTTTCTTAGTTTCTGAGATCTGATGAGATACACAACTGGCTGGACTGGCGTTCTTTTGAAGGTTTAACAGGAACTGTCACAGGCTTCCTTAGCTGCTGAGTGGAATGTTCTGTTCGGTATTCCACAATACATCTGGAGTCAGTTTAATTCACAGGGGAGAAACAAAGCTTAGTTTCCAAATTTTGGGATATCCCATAGTGCTTTGCGACCTAGCAGTTTCTGTATAGAGTAATGATGTACTCCTCCATAACCACTGAACATCATTACTATGTATTGTATGTTTCTTCTGTGTTTCTTAGGGCAACCCAGATCAAGACCTACTCATGGGACAATGCCCAGGTCATCCTGGTGGGCAACAAGTGCGACATGGATGATGAGCGAGTGGTGCCAGCAGACAAGGGCAAGCAGCTGGCTGACCAGCTGGGTAGGTCTATGAGACAGCTGGATAAACTCCTGTGGGAGCTGTCAGACCCTCCTAGTACAAGAGTTAGGAGAAGCAGAGAAATAAATAGGATGGAAACTCCTTAAACTTAAACAGGAAACTGACTGGCTTTGTCCAGTTTTTGGCAACTTGTCACGGTTTTCCGGCTTCTTCATTGTTCAGTGGATGGGGTGGCTGTGAGGGCATCAGACCAGTCTGTAACATTGTTGTCCAGTATAAGCGTGTCTGCTGAGCTCCATCTGATTGACGGGACAATGAAAATATGGTAAACATATACTCACATTGTAATGTAGTAGTAAGCAATGTTCCTGACGTTTTTGACTGTTGTTCAAAACAACAAAACAGCTCCAGCTTTTGAAATAATCAGAGCTAATTATAGTTTGATTGGGGTCATAAATAGTTGAGTTTCTGTTGCATCTTTAGGATAAATTGTCAATTTTTCTGAATGTTATTTCCCAGTGGGTAGGTGGCCTTTATGAAGGTGTTATACTGACAACTTTAGACTACATTCAAAAACAGCCACATATACAGCTTAAGTTATACTTCATAATATCTGTCTGAAGACTGAATGTTTTTCTGATATTCCTCTATTGCGTTATTAAACCAATTTGTGTGTGTCTCATGGAGTGCAAGTTGAGGTATGCAAAAAAACAAATTCCTAATACAAGAAATTGTATATGGCCAATAAAGTGATCTGATCTGATCTACTTTCCACTGAGCCCGTGTTCAAACCCTCTGTCACTTGAGGTCAGATACTGGGTTTCAAATTGTTTCTTGTCTAAATCTGCAAAGCTTGCATGGAACAGGCACCCTTGTGATGTGATTATGACTGTACTGGTCTTGCAGTCACAGCACATCTTAGAGCTCTTTACCTCTATCTACGTCTGTAGAGGTTTGATTATGTCAAAGACTAGTTTGACTGCTGCACCTTTGCACAAAAAAGGTGGAAAGTATTTTGTTGTAATATAAAAACAAAAAACACAAAAGTACTATAAATAAATAACACTATGTAATGGCTGCACCTTGTATTTACATAAATTATGGCATATATGACCTCTTTTAAACACATTTCAATCAAATCTGTCCTGGCACAGCAAGTGAATTTGACACCTCTGTTGCAGACAGTTAATGTTCAGAGACAGCAATAGTGAAGCTCAGGTTCTTAATTACCGATAAACATGTTTTCTGTGGGGAGGTGTAAGTCTGGGTTCAGCTCAAAGTCTGCAGACCAGCGCTTGCTCCATTCCTTGTCAATTTCTGTAAAAACAGGAACAATTAATTCCTTGAAGTATTAGCAGCAACAATTTGGATTAAATTTAAACACTATAATTCTTACACATTACTTTTCAAGTATGATTTTATGTTATTCTTAAAATCTTTTAAAACTAGCCAATCTAAGGGATTTCATTTAATAATGCAAGATGTGTATCTGTCTTCAGGACGTTTCTGCTCTGTCCTGCACTGTCTCGGAGAGGAAGTGTCAGTGTGTCTCTCTGCTCTGTCCTGTGGCGTCTCAGAGAGGGAGGGTCAGTGCGTCTCTCGGCTCTGTCCTGCACTGTCTCAGAGAGGGAGGGTCAGTGCGTCTCACTCTGCTCTGTCCTGCATTGTCCCAGAGAGGGAATTTCCCAGGCCTGTAAGGTCTCCATGAAGGAGTGGTAGTGTTTCTTATCTTCCTTGCACTATGCATGCTATTCTATGAAGTGTGCACTTGTCAGAGGAACCTGTACGCCTCATAACTCTGCAAGAAAAGGTGTGACTCTCACTGAGAGCAAGTTTGTTGATAACTTTTTCTGGAAACGTAATTACAAAGACTTTCTTTACTTTACGATCTTTTAAAATACAGCTAAAATGAGACACCACTCCAAAATTACCATGTAATTTTAACACACACATGAGATAGTTCCCCTCACCTTCCACACTGTACTGGGTTCCAAACCACTTCTCCTTTAGCTCACAGCGCCCCTCGTTGTCAGGAGACAGTAAAAGAAGGTTAGCCTTCTGTGGTGTAAGGAGATTGAGGGCAGCCAATATGATCTAGGAAATAAAACCAGACATATGAAAACGATACCTTTTATCTCTACAACTCAGGGAACACCAAAATCTATCCACATGCACATAGTGTAAATCTTGTTAAGTCTGGTGTTCCTCAGGGCTGAATACTGGGCCCGTTGCTCTTCAGCATTTACATGTTTCCACTTGGTCAGCTTTTCAGATCACATGGCCTCACCTATCATTTCTACACTGATGATACTAAAAATACACACCCATACCAAACCTGACACTGATGTGGATGTCTCTATTCTATCTAATTGCATCTCTCACATAAAAACTTGGATGACTCAAAATTCCCTTCATCTTAACTGTGACAAGACTGAAGTCATGCTTATTGGCACCCCCCATCAACTCTGTAAAGCCAATCCTGTAACCTTATCGGTAAATGGTTCTGTACTTGAGCTTCAGTCTAAATGGAAAAACCTTGGGGTGATATTAGATTCCGGCTTAACATTCAACCCACATGTGCAGCATATTGTCAAAACATCTTTCTTTTCACCTCAGAAATATCGCTAGACTATGCCCTATGTTATCACCAACTGTGGCTGAAAAGCTGATCAACACATTTGTGTTCTCTCAAATTCACTACTGTACTGCTCTACTCACTGGGGTATATAAATCTACTTTGAACAAACTGCAGTATTTCCAAAATTCAGCAGCCAGAATCCTGACCAGGTCTAGTGAAAGTGATCACATTACTCCTATCATCCTGGAGTCCTTGCACTGGCTTCCTGTCAAAGTTCGTGTGGACTTTAAAATCCTCATTCTCGCCAAGAAGGTTCTGCATGGCTTGGCACCTCAGTACCTGTCTGAACTATTATCGCCCTACTCCCCACCTGGCAACCTTCGCTCTTCTAATTCTGGTCTCCTTACTGTCCCCCAAGCCCATCTACATTGTATGGGTAACAGGGCCTTCTCCTGTTATGCCCCCAAGCTCTGGAACTCTCTCCCCAAGGATACCAGAGAGTCACCTTCTCTAAACTCCTTCAAATCCAGACTCAAAACCTTGTTCTTTAGAAGAGCCTTTACTTAACTGGTTCCATTCCTTACCCCTCTGCTCCTACTATACTTAGTACCACCATCCACGGTCTCCTATATTTATTTTATATATCACCTTTAAAAGTGGCATCTCAAAGCAAAGTAAATACCCAACACTGATTGTACCCATCTGTCTTGCTAATAAAGCACCTTGAATTGAATTGA